GGGGGGTTAGTGCGATCTGTAAAGATCCTGAAAATATATGTTCTCCCCTTCAGATTTATACTACTGCTACCTAAGCCATTGGGTTCCGACATGAATATACGTCTGCCAATGTTGGACATCACTTTGGTTCATCGGAGAAATAGGTTTTTGTGTTTTTGTCTGCGCAAGAAGCAATATCTGAAATAGGAGCTTAGATTTTTTTTATCTTTAAATACTATATTTACTGTTATAGAGAAATACAAATAGATTTAAAGCTGTGTAAGGGGCTTTCAAATGACAGTGTGCACATCTCAAAATTATTGGACACATAAATGCTAATACAGTTTAATCCACATTTGTATTTTCATCCACGCTACATCAGTATTATTGATCACAAATAACATCTCTTGATAGAATTGCTCTCTTTAGACCTAACCTGATTATACAAAGTGCAAGGTAAACTATGACCTACATTTTGGATCCCCAGTGTGCTTCCTGGAGCAGCAGGGCAGTACATACATTAGCATATGCATGTTGTGGAAGAAACATTTAATGATTTTATTAAACTGAAAAGTTGACTTTATCTTTAAATATCAAATTACTGTGTATCAGCCGAAACGCTGACATGCTGTACTAACTTTTTACCTTTGGGTTTACATCACTATATCTTTAGAAATCCTCAGGCCACATTTAAAGTTAAGCTGCAGTCCTTTGTAAGAACAATTAACTTAACGCTAACCAGATTAAAAAAGTTACTACACTCTGGTTTACCTGATCTTTTTCTGGGTAAACACCAGCTCTGAGGAACGAGGCCTTCCAGCTGTCCACGTCCTCCTGAGCGTCACACGCCAGCTCAATCTGACGCAGGTCTTTGTACACATTCCTGTAAGACACACATGTTGACATTAACCAAAGATCAGAACGGACTAACACCGTAAACATGACTGTTTTAGAGCATTAAAGCAGCCGCACCTCTGTTCAGTGCTAAAGATGGCGAAGACTTGTTTGCTGGACATGAAGCCCTTCTCCACATCTCTCAGCTTCAGGTTGTCCAGAGGTAGCATGTACTTCTTCTCTTTTTCCTGATAAACAAATGATATGAAAACAATAAAATAAGTCATACTATAACAAATAAACAGTGTCTTCCCTATAATAAGTGATCTCAAGGTACAACAAGTGGGTTTATTATCCAGGTGCCCATGTATAAGTACTTTGCAAGTAGGAGGACGGTCCTATCAAACAGAAAGTCAAAAGTCACTATTGTATGCTTAAGTGATTAGTAGAAATACTGAAAGGACCTTAGGTGGTGACTTTTTGACTACAGATTGGGTCCAAAACTAGCAAGCCAAATGAATGTCTGGGAGCAAATGAATTGTATATGCTACACAAATATGGTCAGGATCTGTTGAATTTTCGAAATATTGGATCGCAGATCAGAATTATACAAAAAGGGGTTCATTGAGCATGAAACACTTGAAATAAGTAAAGGATAAGTTAAAAAAGAAAGCAGAAAGAAAGTGAGGTCAAAGAAAACTGTTTGTGCTAAAAAAGTTTGCAATGATTGAGAGTCAGACCTAAAAATGTGAGATGTGTGTATCTCACACTGCACGGTAATTTGTATTCATTTGTTATTCATGTTTTATCTTTGCTTTTAAATGAGTGACTTTAAATGCCCTTTTATAATGTTTCTTCATGCTCTTAATGTCTTTCATTTTTGTAAATCACTTTGAATTGCCTTGTGTTGAAAGGTGCTATATAAATAAACTTGCCTTGCCTATCACATGAAAATAAGGCGATATTTTGTCCATTTACTGTCCCCTTAGTAGCCTTACCTCCTCATCTTTGTACCAGGAGAGAGACTCAGCTGTCAGGACAAACCAGTAGTCCTTGGATCCTCCCTTCATGATGCTGATGTTGATGGTGAGCCAGCCTCTGCGGATCACCTGCACACGAGAGCCCAAAAGTTGACTAAACCACACATCCCATATGTATCTACAGAAATCAAATAGAATAATAGAAACGAATGAAAGACAAAAACATACATGTGTAGAAATAATTGACAGCAAAATAAAGCAGAAAAGACATGCAAGTGCAACAGGTTTGCAAGAAAAAGATGCACAATGCAGTCGGATCAGGCCAAACTGTCTTACCGGAAAATTCATAACAAACACAGAGACAGAGAATAAATGACAGGCTCCAATAAAAAGTCACCTTCTCTGTTTCTCTCTCTCTGTCAGACTGACGGACAAGGAGACAAAGGGAACAGACACACAGGGATAATGAGAGCACATATGGATTGTGTGGTGGTGTAACCATGAGTGTATTATAGAGTAAGGGCACCAGTGTGTCCCAGTTGCAAGCTGTGGTGCTTCAGTTAAGGATTCCCCTGCAGCCTTAAAAAGCCTTTTCTACATACATCTCTATTATGATCAAGGCGGTTGAGCATAGACGAGCTCAGGGCCACCGAGGGGGCGCTTTCATTTATTTTAGACAATCTAAACTTTGAGCATGTGAATACTTTTACCATGATACAACGCTAAATCAATCATTTAGAGAACGATACGATTGTTTGGCGATATCATGAATCTGCCATGATACAATTTTCATTGATTCAATTCGGAAGCCTGCAAGCGCTATGAGATGATATCATGTGCCCATTTAACAACATCAGTTATATTTATATCAACTCACATAATTAATCATGTAATTATATTTCTAGGCTTTACAAAAGTGTTTCACTTTAAAGCGCCACATCTCTCGTGTTTAAGCACTGTTTCAATGTTTAGGACGGTGGTTTGCTTGGACAAAAATGGTGACACAGTCATGCCTTGGGAATTTCAAAATAAAGGCATTATGTTAAAGATGTCGATATCCATTCTTATAAATAATAATAAACTCAATGGTTTTACAAAAATAGACACAAACTCTTGTTGTTTTTTTGTTCACACCGCGGTGCAAGAATAAGACATAGGGATCTCTAGAAAGGCTTCTTATGTTTTATCATATCCCACACATGAAAAAACAATACTGAAAAATACAGAATGAGAAAACAATAACTTTAGCTTATTCAGTGGGTGAGAAACTCTTGGTACAGGGTATCCGGTTCTCATGATGATACATCCATGAGTGTAACTCTTTCACTTCCCTCTTCTTCATCAAGGAGCACAAATCTGGTTCCTCGACTCCCCCACCCACCCAAAGAGGAAGTGACAAGTGGAGGTGCAGCCGGTGGGCACGGTACTTACAAGAATCTCCCCCTGGGCCATGAGAAGGAGGAACAGAAGAAGAGAAAGAGGAAAGGGAGAAAAAGGACAACAGGGGCACAGACAAGAGTGTGTAAATGTGAATCAACAGAGGGACATGTGGCAGGAGAGACGGGCTGAGACAACGACAGAGAGAACGGGAAATAAAGGAGCAGCAGGAGAAAGCAGCTGCTGTGATGCTACAGAGTTTTAAACAGCAGAGTTACCTGATTGGGCATGACTCTCTTCTTGGTGATGTTAGCAGCCGTCCTTTGCTGGGCACTGCAGGAGAGACATTGAAGGATGAGGGATATGCTAACAAAATGCATACAAGATATTTCTGGAATATTAATCAAATTATATTATTTTTTCCTTTTCTTTTTATATGTTTTCTTTAATAATTTCAGATGGAAAGCATAAGGGTTTTTCAGATTTGATTAAACATGTGTACTGACTGTTTGGATTTTAATGAATATAGGCAGCAATTCATAATTATTTTATATTTGATTGATTTATCAATTAAGCATTTGTCCAGTCATATTGGGAAATAGTGAAAGATTGCCATTATTTTTCTACCAGCACCCAAGTTGATATGGAAGTTTCTTTTAATATTCAGTCAACAGTCCAAAGCAGACACACATTTAGTATCATATATACCAAGAAGAATCTTTAAATCTTTGCAGGAAAGAATAAGAAAAAACCTACCGACCCCTGTTTCTAATAAAACAAATTAATAAGTAATAATAAATAAGTATCTTACTTGGCAAATCCAATGAAGTCCTCATGATTAGTGTTGATGTAGGAGAGCTCAATGTCGATCAACAGCAGCACCTGAGAGAAAAATCATTACATTGTACACAAACAGAGGAAACTGTACACACACACACACACACACACACACACACACACACACACACACACACACACACACACACACACACACACACACACACACACACACACACACACACACACCTGGTCTTTGGTCTTGCTGTCTCTCTCTCTGACGTAGGTGGTGACGATTCTCTCCGTCTCTTCTCTCAGTCGAGGGTAGGATCCCAGCTGTAGAGCCACACACAAACACACGCACTGCTGCAGGCACCGTGATTACAGGACACACACCTGTGCAGGCTTACACAACACTGCAACACTTTGTTTCCTCATAAGCAGTAACTCCCAACAATCACTGACAGTAAATATAGAGTATAAACACAAAATATGAGGCAGGGCATTCAACATGAACACTGAGCAGGCATGCACTAAAGAGATCTGTATCAGCTGGAGACTACGTGTCAGCTTTAGCTGTTGCAAAAGCTATGAAGTTGTTACCAGTGTACAAAAACAGTAAACATAAGGGTCAGGGGTGTAAATCTTCCGGTATCTCATCATTCAAAATTGATTCTCAGTTTAGTATATACGGCTGCTTATTTCATAATCTACACCAGTCTATTGATGGTTTATAAAGGTGGTGTTGGAAATTTCCGCAAGAAGGCAAAGTTAAGTTAATTTTGAATAATGCTGGACATAACAACAAATTGGTGTTTAGGAATACTGTCCATCAGTTAGATAAATACAAAACAATAATTAAAAATAATGAATAATAGAATATGAGAATCTCAATCCTTACAGGAAGAGCTTACCCCAACTCTAATTAGCATAATATCATCTCAAGCTGATAGCAAGTCTCAACAAATCAGGGAGGAAGTAGCAGAAAAAAAGATCAGGTTAGATTTTAGAAAGAGATGAAGATTGGAGAGGGTCTGATGGAGTTGTGTGTGCGTGTGCGTGTGCGTGTGTGCGTGTGTGTGTGTGTGTGTGTGTGTGCGTGTGTGTGTGTGTGTGTGTGTGTGTGTGTGTGTGTTTGGGGGGTTGTGTTATTGGTGTCAATGGTGCAGTAAAGGGGGTATCACAGGAGTAATACATGAACATTTCCATTGACAAGACAGGGTGGGGAACAGCCCAATTCCTTAGTGTGAGAGTGGGCATCTGAGTGGATAAGTGAGGTGAGGAGAGGGGGTGTTATGTACATCACCAATCACAGTGAGGATGGGGTAAGTGTGCCGGTAGAGGTCCAGGGTCTCGACAGGGAAAGGGCTCGTTAGATTCGTCATTAAAGAGGGAACCAAGGGGTAGACGGGTGGGACGTGAAGCCTTCAAACAGCGGTAAGGGGAATTGATCAGCAATAACAAACAGGGATAAGTTAGTTGATTACATTTTCCTCTCTTTTCCTTTTTTTGACTGCTCTCTATCACTGACTGATTGCATTTTTTCGCTCTCTAAATGAATCATTTTTAAATCTGTCTGTCCACTGTTCCTGTTTACCTTTTCCGTGCACTTCCTGATCAGGGCGGCAAGCTCGGTGACAACGAGGTCGACACATTTCAGACAGGGGTCTTTCAGCTTAATGACCTGCTTTTTCACTATGGCCTCAAACGCCAAGTCTGGGGTGAACAGGCCTGTCCTGTGGTGGTGAGGCATCATGAGAGTTTGAGGTTTAATGGCAGGTGAGGGAAGGAGGCAGTGTAGCATGAAGAGGAAAAGGGAAATGGTGGCAAAAAATAAAGTGAAATCCCAAGTTGAATGGAATAGTTTGGGGGAAAAAGGAAGTGTTCAAAAAAGGGAAAGGATAATGAAGATTGAGGGAGAAAAAGGTATTTTAGTTAGTTCTAATTCATTTACAGAACAGAAACAAGCTGCAGGTTCTCAAAAGTATTAATGGCTGCATCAGCTTCCTATTAATGTGCACGTTGAGAGTCAGACCACAGGTTTTAGGCCATGTCAGGTGCATGGCTATATATATATATATATATCCCGGCCCTAATATATATATATATATATATATATATATCTCAATGCCAGTCATTCAATATCTTTTAACATTTATTGGATGGATCGCCAGGACATTTTGTACAGACGTTCATGATTCACATACTGCAAATCCAAATTGTATTGTTAATAACCTAAACTTCCTCTAGTGCCACCATCTAGGCACAATTGCAACTAGTCCAGTAAGTTATTTTAACAATAGCAAATGTTAGCACCATGTGTGCCTAAATTCAGCCTCACAGAGCCGCTAGCATGGCTGTACATCTTTCAGCCGCAGCCTGAAACCTAGCAGCTTGTTTTGTAATGATACTTTTCAGCAACAAGCCACATCCAGTCTGTAACCACACATCTTCTCAGAGACACCACTCCAGTGAAGTACAGCCAGGATATTCAAATACAACCACCAATGTTCCTGCAAGTGAACTTCAAATCAGGACTGTGAAAACTGAACCTTTCCATTGTGTTCATTCACTTTATTTTTTAATCCAGGATGCTGGAATTATGTCCAAAAGCAAATAGCTAAAATGATTCAATTGGCTGCTTTAATAGACCTGGCAACTCTACAGTCGGCTGGTCTCTCTGGTGTGTGTGTAGAGGTGTGGCAGCCAGGCAGGAGACCATGCAGTGATACCTTATTAGTGCACTGTCTGACTGTGTTGATGAGCTCCTGGATGACCAGGTCGATGCATTTCAGACAGGGCTCTTTCAGCTTAATGATCTGCTTTTTCACAATGGCCTCAAACGCCAAGTCTGGGGTGAACAGGCCTGTCCTGAAGGACATACAGATACGACAGACATGGAGAGACGAGGGTAGATAGACACACAGGGAGAGTGTGAGACAGGCACACGGTTGGAGGAAGACACTGAGGAGGACCAAATGAGGTGTAGTAGAAAAAGAAAATGTGAAGTGAAGTGGAAGACAGCAATAAGGCTAACAAGCAGCCAAGGAGACTAAATAGAATCGACTCACAGAAACAAGAAATCAAAGACAGACAGAAAAGACAGCACACTTAATGGAGACACTTACAAAACACTTGAAGACAGAAAGAGTGGGTCTTTATAAAGCTAATGAACACATATAAGGAAAAAAGGCTGGAAGACATAAAGAAAGCAAATGTGTGCAACACAGTGTGCTGTTTGCAGACTTGCCTGACTCCGTGGATGTTCTTGATGGCGTAACTGATCTCTCTCCTCAGCTCCTTCTCATCAAACTCCATCTAAGACACAGGGCAAAAAAAACCAATTTAAACTGCCATGCCATTGCCATGCATATACTATGCGCTATGGATGCGCCTCATCGCGGAGCAAACAGAAGCATCAATCTCATTACGCCAATCCTGATTGGCTGGTGATCTTGACGTCAGCGTCAGGGAATCTACCCCCTATAAGTAGCTTGCGCTACGCCGCATGCATCATTCAAAATAAGCACCTCTTCTCGCTTCACCATAGCAAGGAGGGCCGTCTGGTGAGACATCTCACTTCATGTTACTCTGAGAACTGGGGCCCAGTTCTCAGAGTAACATGAAGTGAGATGTCTCACCAGACGGCCCTCCTTGCTATGGTGAAGCGAGAAGAGGTGCTTATTTTGAATGATGCATGCGGNAAGGGAGACCTGCAGCAAATAGGTTCCACATGAAGCATAAAACAACATAAAACAATAAAGGACATCATACAACATATTTACAGGCTACATTTACAAATACCCATAGTTTCCAACAGCATTTCACTTAGACTAGCTTTAAAAACATGCAGAGGAATGAAATTGCTCAGTTTCAATTCTAGCTGAAGATTGTTCCAAGCAAGTGGAGCTGAGCACATAAAAGCTGTCTTACCTAAGACAGTCCTTGCTCTTGGAACATCTAACAAGACTACATCATGCGATAGATACAAGTACAAATATAATTGAAGCCCTTAATGCTACTTTGAGTTCACCAGTTGGATACTTAAGGAATGCACAATTTCAGCATATTATAGCTACATTATATAATATGATTATATTTAAAGATAATTAATAACTTAAATGTTGCAGCTGGTGAAAGGGGGGGCTATCTATTTTAAATACTACTTAAAAGCATAGTCTCTAATAATACTGCGTTTATTTGTTGAGTGTATTTGGTATCAATAACGTGAAGCATCAAAGTAAATAAATATATCAAATACATGTAGTGGAGTTAAACGTACATTACTCCTCCTCTGACAGACCTTAGTGAAGCAAAGGTAGAAAGTAGCATGCTAGTAGAAGTGATATAATGTAACGCTAGTCAGCAATAACCATAACTTATTAATAAATATCATACTGAGTTTAAAATCTGAAGGCGAAGTATAAAGTAAATCAGAGCAAGTCGCAGTCTTTGAGCTTGGTATACTAAACACGGAAGGAAAATAAAGTTGACTTTAACCACTTCTACTCACCTTTAGCTGAGCGTCTTTGTCCTCATTCATGTCCTCAATGTGTTACTATCGTGTTTTTTGCACAAACTTGTAGCTACTGTAGTTCCACATTTCTGAGCAGGTTTCATCTTTGTCCACATCCTTGTTTAGGCAGTGACGTCATTAAACCGACAGGCTTCTTGAACTACACAGAAGACACACATCAACTAAGAAGTGTTAAATCAAGTTTACGAAACTACGATTGACAAAAAAACATAATTTTTTTGTAGTTTTAAATGCTTGTCACTTCCTTGTCCAAGCCTTTAAACGTCCTTGGTTTCAGTCAAGTGCTCGATGACGTCACTAAATGGGCGGGGCTGAGTCGAAAAAGTGGTCATAGCTAAATTATTTAGCAAATAAACACAAAAAGAAAAATAAAGAAATAAAGTAAAACCCTTGAATGCCGAGTAATATTAAGAGGCATGGATTCAACATAGACATTATGTTTTTTTATTAACTTTTTAAGATTTTATTTACTTTCTCATAAAACAGATTTTAGCCAACTTGAATTTTAAAGTTGATTTTATTTTATTTAATCTAAAAGAGCATGGTACTTACACATATTTGATAACTGTAACCATTATCATTCCCAGTTAAAGAGACATTTACTGTCTTTAACCCTTTATATGTCTCTGCATTGTGGATAAGCCTAGGAAACTCTGTATGCATAGACAGTAAACCTCCACGCTAAAGTTAGATGTATCTGAGGTTTTATAGACCTTTATAGACCTTTTAAAGACCTAGTGAAATACCCCATCACCACACTAAAAGGAGCTCTCAATCAACCATCTAAAATGAAAATAAAAACACATGCTGATCTGGCAAAGGCCTCACAAGGAAAATTGTAGTGTATTGACCAATCCTAGTATGCCTACTCCGTCTTAAATTTGACCGTGAATGTAGTTAGTTTCTTCCTATTTGACTCTTTCACAATTGTGTGTGGTTATTTTTTTGTTACGTGGCATTTTAATTTTTTACTTTATTTGACTTGATGTCTGGAGCAGAGGTTCAGAAAAGCAGGTTGCTTGAGTTTTATTAAGACATACATTCTGACCTTTGACCTTACATAAGAAATTCAAGTGGATCAAGTAATGACAAGTGCATCCTTCTTATTTTATTAAGATTCAACAATTCCTGAGGCTGACTTCATTTCTGGCTACGCTTCCCTGCAGTCTCTGGATTTCCTTGCTCTCCACTTCAAGACACTGGTACTAGCGTACCATGCTGCGAATGGATCTGGCCCTTCCTACATCCAGGACATGGTTAAACCGTACACCCCAGCACATGCACTCCGCTCTGCATCAGCCAAACAGCTCGCTGCACCCGCACTGCGAGGGGGAACCAAGTTCCCATAAGCAAAAACACGTTGGTTTGCTATCCTGGCTGCAAAATGGTGGAATGAGCTCCCCATTGACATCAGGACAACAGAAAGCTTACACATCTAAAAACTCATCTATTACTAACTAAAATTACTAACAAAGCACTTATATACTAATAAAGGACTGGCTTATCTAAAGCCAGTTGAGTAGCACTTGAAATGTTTTGGCTCAATGAAACCTGATGTACTTATATGATTCTGTGTTCTTCAAGTTTGTATCTTGTTGGTCGAATGCACTTATTGTAAGTCGCTTTGGATAAAAGTGATGCAACTTGAATAGGGTTACACCTTTCAATGTGGATTTCAAGTATCAGTGTTGATCAGAGTGTTGCTATAGCATCTCTATATTTGTGTTCAATTTGAGGAAGTGACAGAGCATTCTGCTGTCACCGCTACCCTCACTGGTGCAGAGCGATCAGGACTTCCTCAGAAATGTTTCGCTCTAAGCTGAGTGGACGAAACCCAAATTAGAGAAGGTCAAAGGAGACCACTTCTGGCTGCTGACACAGTGTGGCATTGGATTATTACGTTTAGTATTGAAGTCATATCAGACAAGTTTTACAAGTTAATATTCATGAAAATAAACCTATTAAATGTGTATATCTCATTTTTGTCTTTGGATCTTCAATAAAAATGACAACATTAAGGAACTTTGAGATAACACCTGCTTTCAGTTAATCCATTCTGTGAGATATTAACACCCTTATCTCTTCCTCATTTGTTCTATAGCTACCTGTTTTTGTTCTATGTTTGATTTACGCCCTACAGGATGTTTAAAAAAGATTAGACCATATCACAAGTTTGTGGGAATGTGACATAGCAAGGGAATGAATAACGAGGAAATTATTGAACATGTTTTTTCACATCCTTGTTCGTGGCACTGCTTAAATGCCTGCAAATACAGGCTTACAAATCACTGTGTGTTCTATATGTGAAATAATGAGAGCATTAGAGTGTGTTAAATCTCCTTCTCTCCTGACAATATTTTAGACAAATGCAATAAATGGATAAACGCAAAACTGTTTATTTCCTGGAGCATAATCATCCATATACAGTCAAGCACAGTTTAGCCTTGAAGCTATCTCCTCAACACTGTCCATGGTGTGTTTAATGCCTACTGTACGAAAAGGGAAAAACAATTGAGATCAGTCGACTGCCTCCTCCACATTAAGAACAGCAACACACACAAAGTCCTCCAACCACTCATCGCAGACACTCAATAAAATAAAAATGTTGGCAAGATAAGAAGGAATCTCTTCTGGTCCTTTTTACCAGGAAAGAAAGCAATAGCTAACAAGCAGTAAACTTAACAATCTTATCATAACATTAACTCAAGTTAATTTAAAAGCTCTGTTGCTCAAACATTAGCGTTCCTTGCTACTTTCTCAACAGCTTTAACACTGACCAACAATTTCAAGGGGCATACGAAGCATCGTCGGGGTCGACAAAAAATACTTGTTTTAACAGAAATCAGACAAAAAAAGCGACAACACTGTGCGGCTGCAATACAGCCCTACAGTTTTTTCGGTCTCAGGTTTGTAGCAGGCCAGGTAGTTCAGTCCTCTGCTCGTCCATGCGTCCCCCCTGGACCCTCAGCAGCAGGGAGAAAAAATCCTCATCATCCATTGGACCGGGAGCCCTGCTGCGCTGATCCTCCAGCCTGCCCTGGGCCTGAGGTTGGAAAATAAGTAGGAAAATAAATTCCAGAACTAATGTTTAAATATTTTCAAATCATGATAAGAGCATTGTATCAAACTATTTACAAATGACTCACTTGTGTCGAGAGAATCATATTATAGAGATCCTCTTTGGGCACGGGCACAGGCACTGGTGCAGGCGCCGGCCTTCTTGCAAAAGACAGTTGCCTAATGCTGCCCCTGAAACTTCTGCCTTTTGATTTTGGTGGCTGAGACTTTTCGAGCTGTGCCCTCTGGTCATCGAGCCGGCGAGCTTGAGCGGTGGCCACCAGATCAAAGAACTCTTCTTTCTGAAGTGAAGTCATGGAGGAAAACACAACTGTGGATAAAAGTGAGAGAAAAGCTTTGATGGTTAGATGGTGGAAGACATTAAGTTGTCAAGAGAGACGTAGAAACATGAGGGTGAGTATACGTGTGTAGTTTCATGTTGTTTTATCTCAAACAACAGGAGTCAGCATTAGAAACAATGTAATGACTGCACCCATATTATCACTGTAACACTGTAAAGCAAAATAGGGCTTTTCAAAGCACACTCCCACCTCTGTGTGCTGGCCTGTTGGCGTTGGGCTCAGAGTGGCACCTCCTCCTCATCCCACTCTCCAGCCTGAAGGAGCAGCGCTGGTCATTGAGGCGTCTCCCCTCCTGAAGGGTAAAGAGCAGCTCGTACAGTGCCTCTGGGAAGTCAGGGGTTAACCTGTGAGCCTGAGAAAACACAGGTAG